CATTATGTTTCCACCTCCTGACATTCAAAGCTGTCCACTGACACTGATCCATGCTTGAGAAACACTCAAAAACAGCCTCTCCCATGCCAACTCATCCAGGAGTGGGATGGGCATGGATTATAAAAATTAATGATCCTGCGTGTTTACAAAAGGTGTGTGAAGAACACGATCTCCTTTATCTTTATACATGTAGTGTAAACACATTATGCTTAATTCAGGCTAGCCACTATAAAAAAATCCATTTGAAACTGAAAATGGAGATAATACTTTTGTTTTCAATCAAATAAAAAAAGACCACTTTAGAGTCTTGTTTTATATTACTTTATATGACAGTAATATAATGAGTTGGATGGAGGGTGTATTTAAAGTATTTTCAATGGGCATGTTTTGACCTTTATTTTTAAAGTGGGTATTTAAGAGATTACAGGAAATGAAAAGAAAAAGAGAAGGAATAACATGAAACAAAGTCAGTTTCTGGACTTTAGTCATAGATTTTTTATTCTTAGGGAAGAGGAAGTAAAGATCATTTTTTTCCAATTACGTGTGTCAAATATTAAGGAAATAAAGCCGTCATAGAACATGTTAAATTTAAGAAAAAAAACATTCCCAAGGACCCACGTTTCTTATTTTCCTGATGCATTTTAGTCATCATGAGTTTCCATAATAAACACTCAGCTCTGTGTTGCTTAAAGCGGTTGTCAGAGGCCTTCAGTGGCTCCTCTGTTTTATAGTTTGGCTTGGCACCAATTTCTCATTCTTTTTCCAAAAGAAACTCCAGCAGTCCAAAATTGGCTTGTAAAGTTAAGCTCCACTTATGTAGATTTCCAGGATGTGAACTCACCTTTGAATACCATTCAAGTTGTCTTTTGGTAAGTGTGTGTAAAAAACGATTTAAGGGATTTACTGTAAACCGATGGCGGGGAAAAAACAGCTTTGTCAAAGTTTGTTTGATTAATGGATTATGGAAGGATAAGTTGAGTATAATACCTAACTAAGAGAATTCTCTTTATTGTACTGTTATTTCCCCCCCAAATAGTTTCTAACCTTTCTCTATGTTCATATTCTCTTTCATCAAAGTTTTTGGACTGAAATTGAATGTAATTTCCAAATAAATTGTCCATAATAACAATGTAAAGCCATCACAACAGAGCTGGCCAGCTAACCAATCAGAGCAGACTGGGCTCAGTAGAGGCACTAAATACAAATATGATCCTGAAAATGAGCATTATATGTCTTCTTCAATAAAAAATACAATACAATATTGGTAATTTTTCTGAAGTAAAAGATATGAATACCTTTTCCACATTGATGTGGTGGGATTTCTTCAGGGTAAAATAATTACTTCTGTGAAGCATAAGATGATACAAATCATATACTTAAAGGTGGGGTAGGTAATTTTGGAGAAACCGGCTCGAGATCGCTAGAATTTGAAAATACACAACCGGAGAAAATCTGCCACTTCCTTATAGAGCCCCTCCTCCAACACACACGAACACGCACATGACCAATGAGGGCACGAGATAAGTTTGTGCACAGATGGAAGGCTGACAGGCAGGTAGGCTATCCAGTTATTTTAGCCGGGCCGGCTAAAATGATTGGTCGTGCTTTTTACAGTATTACGGCTTCCACAGATGACATTTTGTTATGGATTTGTTGTCAAAGCACTTAAGATATTCATTGCTATCGGGATGTTAAGAGCATTCCATGGAATATAACAAAAAGTGTATCTCGAGCCGGTTTCTCAAACTTACCTACCCCACCTTTAAATGGTGCTCTTTTCAAATTCACATAAGAAAAATATCTCCTTTAGTGTGTCACTATGTAATTTTAGCTATGGATACAAATAATTCAATTCAATTCAATTCAAGTTTATTTATATATCACATCATATTTGTCTCAGAGGGCTTCACAGATCAAATAATGAAAAAAAGTAATGTAGCACAGGAAATGAGCTTACAGTCATGCTGTGACTGGCATTAAACTCAATGTGATTCACCTGTAATTTGTTTATTTCAGAGTTCTTCTTTCCCCCAGCTGCATACAGGGTTGACGATAATTAAATGTTCTTCTCTGTACTCGATCAGAATAGGACCTTCAGCAAGAAATAGTTTCTTTAACCCTTTGAATGTTATTTATTTTTTATGTTGATCCAACTTTGTGTGCCGCAGTGAGCCTATTTTCCTTCAGGCATTGAAACAAATCTTCATCCAGCAAGCTTTTATCCTTGTCTGATGTGCTGTGATTATTTGTGCTTTTATTAATCTCTAAAAGTAAGGGCCAAAAATGTTTTCACTTGAGTAATACAAAAATCTAAAAGTTCCTCTGTAAAAATCTTTAACACTAATATGACAACAAAATAAAACAGAACAAACCTGGCTTCGCCCAAAGTAAGGCTTTACTGTATGTTTCTCAAATGTATGCACATGTATCATATTTGAAAATCAAAACAACATTTCAGAACTTGTAACTCAACAAATGATCACCACTTTCATAGGCAAGGCAAGGGAAGCTTATTTATATAGCACCTTTCAACACAGTCATTAAAAATCAAAGATAATAATAATAATAATAAGATATGAATAGTTCAATTAAAAGCAGCGGCAAAAAGAAAAGTCTTCAGCCTGGATTTAAAAGTAGTAAGAGTTGCAGCGGACCTGCAGGTTTCTGGGAGTTTGTTCCAGATATTTGGAGCATAATAACTGAACACTGCTTCACCATGTTTAGTTCTGACTCTGGGGACAGAAAGCTGACCAGTCCCTGAAGACCTGAGAGTTCTGGATGGTTCATCATTTAGCAGCAGATCAGAAATGTATTTTGGGCCTAAACCATTCAAAGCTTTATAAACCAGCAGCAGTATTTTGAAATCTATTCTTTGACACACAGGAAGCCAGTGTAAAGACTTCAGAACAGGAGTGATGTGATCCACTTTCTTAGTGTTAGTGAGGACTCAAGCAGCGGCGTTCTGAATCAGCTGCAGCGTTCTAATAGATTTTTTAGTGAGACCTGTGACCTGTGATTACAGTAGTCGAGTCTACTGAAGATAAAAGCATGGACAAGTTTTTCCAAATCCTGCTGTGACATTAGTCTTTTTATCCTAGATATGTTCTTTAGGTGATAGTAGGCTGATTTAGTAACTGTTTTAATGTGACTGTTGAAACTCAGGTCAGAGTCCATGACTACACCTAGATTTCTGGCTTTATCTGCTGTTTTGAACATTGCAGACGGAAGCTCAGTGCTAACTTCATAGGGTAAACATTTAATAATAACAATGAATAGATATCACTATTTAGCTGTAATCCAGATACCCTTACAATATAATGCAATATCAAGTTACATTAACGCAAAAAGTCTAGACAAGCTCTTGCCACCCACATGCAGCCGCGCCTGATCAGGTCTCCACACGCTTCTCTTTCCAACGTATATTCTGATTGCTTAAATTAGATCATGAACATCTGCTCAGACAGACTGCTGTAGTCAAAATGAAAATCATGCATACAGTATGTGTGTAGCATCAGCAGACTCAGCAGAGAGTAAATGATATTCGAAAGTCTGGTCCATCTGTTCTTAGAGGTTAGGGGTTACAGTTTGCAAAACAACAAAACAAATCAGTTCCTCTTCAATGAATCTCAACGACTGTATATCCAGTAGAGGCCTCATTACCAATCACTACTGGGTGAAATGTCAGAGAGAAAGAGGGATGGAGTGGAAAGATAACCTCTGTCATTTACCATGAGTGTGAGAGCGGTGTTAATGACTTGGCCCTCGCATCTTGAGAGGTGGGTGTTTGAACAGGAGTCGGCTGCATGGGCTGAGGAGAGTGTGGGAGGAGAGTGGGGAGGATGTCTGATCCACGTAATGGGGGGGGGGGGGGGGGGGGGGGGGGCTGCTGTGACTCACAGACTGCGAGCAACGGCAGCTCAGGTAGTAAACAAACTGGTTGCTGTCTCCATGGCAACTGGCACATCGCACTATTTCCCGGCAGAAAATATTGTGTTTTTGGACCCACACAAACGCACATACATACTTAATGGGGACCGCCGACGGAGAGAGGTCGCGCTGTTGGATCAAAACCAAGTGCACATGCCTGAATAAAAACATTTTCTTTAGAATACGGCCCTGGAAATAGCCGTTTTTATTACTTTCACATAGGCTAGATGTTTCCCCCTCTTTTCAGGCTTTAGGTCCAGCCTAAATGTTTTCTTCTGTTTCCTGTCTTTATGCTAAGCGGCTGCTGGCTGAAGTGTTTATTGTATTGATATAACATTTGTATCAATCTTTTCATCCAACCCACACACACACTAACACACACACGTTCCTGAATGTTTTGTCCTGTTATCCATCTATATGCTAAAATAAGCTAACTGGCAGCTGGCTGAGGTATCATATTGATATGAAAGAGGTGTCAATCCTCTCATCAAACTCCCTACAAGTAAGAGGATAAGTGTCACTTCCACATATGCTTTACTTACATATTTGTTGTGTACAGAAGATGATTAGGTACCCCCAAAAAATTTAAAATAATTCAAATATTGGTTTCACATGGCCCTTAATCCTCTTCCCGTATGTGTGTTGTCATTGTCGTCTTTTATACGTCGTGTAATCTGACCTGTCTGACTAGTGTCTCCTGTTTGTTACTATGCACCAAACTAGTTTCCCCTTATTTGTTATAAAAATAATAAACTCTTCTATTTATTAATGTATCTAAATGAAACACTTCTTCTATTACTGTAGATTGAACTTCCCTGTACGAGTCATAACTTATTCTTATGTGGCTAAAAGCACACTAACCGACACACTCACTTCAAATTTTCCATTGACTGTTACTCCAGAGAAAAGGAGTCATCCAGTCACCCACGTGTGAAATGGAAGCACTGAGGCCACAAATAAGTATTCTTCAGGCGTCCTCATACATTTGGTCTGACCTCATAAAACCACATCCCCATTCTGTGTGTGTGAAGTATATTTTCCAAGGTACAAAACAGTCATCTTTTTGTCTCTGAATATCTTTTATTCAATGCATTTATTTTCACATACAGATAAAAAAACATAGAAAAACAGAATATATAATATATATTAAATACTTTAAATAAATAGCAAATAAATAAACACTAATGAGCATCTTCCAGACAGTGGTAGATTTGTTGTGTAAACTCATTTCTGTCCTTCAGCATTTAATAAATTACGGCTGCGTCCATGCAGCCCTGTATGTACAGTACAGGTGTCTCTTTCAGAGGCAGACATCGCCTTCAGGGCCGTCTCTTGTCACAGCTTCATGTGTCCTTCAGTTTCCAGCTCGGGCGCCAACCTCCGATTGCCCATAGTTACTCCATAACCTGGCGTGCAACTCCAGGTTGCATTTATTCCATGTAAACCTTTCCACTATGTGTCAGCAAACTGTGTCCAGTTTAATACAGTTTTTATTTTAGCCTGACTTGGCCTTTCTGCTGAGCTCCAGGTACGTGGAGGACTTGAGGAAGCGAGGGTAGCAGTCCTTCTCCATCAGGGTGTAGATTTTAGCTTGGGCCAGGCTGAAGGATGACTGGCTGGCATTCTCAAGGTTCTCCTTCGTGATGGCTTTGGTCACATGGTCAAGATTTACCTATAGGGAGGCAGAAGAGGTAGATGATCAGCACTTTGCAGCAAGATAACAGACACAGCATGAGTAGTGTATTTGGATATTATTATATTTACCTCTCGTGGTGCGTCACAGACGATGAACTGGTCGTAAATATGCTTGGCTTTGGCGGCCAGTTTCGATGGTTTCGTCACCCGGTAGTCCTCGCAAGCCAAGTAGAAGGCGATGTTTTCCTCACTGAACTCTGAGACCAGGAACGCTCTGAACAGGCACAGTCCATCTGGAAACAGAAGAGAAAAGCAGGTTAACATCTGGTATATCTAAAACATCTGGAATGACTGATACATTCTTATTAAGTGTGATGTGAAGAAGTGTGCGTACTTACTTTGACTGGACAACAGTTTCTCGAACGACTCCTTCCATTTCAAAGGCTCGTCGAGATTGAACCTGCAGCAACAGAAGAATATTGTTAGGAAAAGTTTTAAAATCCACAGATGTCCCCTTTGATTTCACTGACATGCTCATAGAGACGATTTCAATCTGTGTCTTACCTCAGTTTGTCATATTTCTTGGACAGGATGCTGTGATCTGACTTTTGCAGTAAACTTCCAAACAAAGCTTTTAACTCCTTTGCCCTGCAAAGATAAAGAAAGAGAAAATGTTACAACAAAAAACTAGTATTTAAATCCACTTGTCATATATCCTATAAGAACAGGAATAGTTTAAGTTATTCCATTAAAACACTTAAGGATCTCACCTTTCCAGGCAGGTGGTAGGCAGTGATTCCAGTCCTCTGCACATGATGAGATGTTTCCTGGATATTTCCCCAAAAATGTTTGGTTTTATTTGTAAAGTTCAGAGCTGTAAGAGCTGCTGTACACGAGGGAGCTCTCAGCTAGTCTGCCTCTCTGTGTGGGAGAGGGCTTTTTATAGAGTAGTCCACTCTGTGATGTCACGCCTCTCAACCAATGAGGAGACGTGTGGGAGGAAAAGGAGACTGGTTTTCCTCCAGACTACTTCCTCTCTAACTGAAGCATGTGTGTAAGAGTAATAGCGACTGAATCACTTCACAGCTCTTCAATGTCGTTGTGCTCAGTCAGGGAGTGAGAAGGTGTGTGTGTTCTTGTACTTTGTACCATTAGTTGTGAAGAGAACCAGACGTTCTCACAAGAACTGAAAAATGTCCCACGATGAGGACGTTTTTGACGGTTAATAGAAAATAAGTTCAGTCACCCTACTCGGGTCAAAAAGCCCTCTTATCCAAATGACTGCACAGATTGATTGTCGGTGAATTACAACATTACAAAAATGAGGGGTTTGGCAGATTTTGACATATCAAGGTCTTTGACTTAGGTAACAGTAACAATGATAAAGAAATACTGCAACAATGAAGCCTTTGCTAACCTGTGTTAACCTTTGCATTACACAAAATGTTTCTAATCATTTTTTCATGGTCATCACTCTGTTAGTTCTGAAGAGGAGGAGACCGCTTTGGATAATTTGGCCTCCGGTAAACATCTTCTGAATAAAAAATGTATGAAGAAATCTTGACAGGAAGAAGCTGACTGCAATGCCCAACTCCCATGATCCCATGCAACTTCTACTTCATAAACTTTGTCTTTTGTATTTATTTTGTCTTAGAGCAGGACATTTCCTATTGATTTTTGAATATTTTATCACGCTTAATAAGACATTTTGTCAACCTATACTTTTTAGGTATTTCTATTTTTTTTTATTGGATAATGATGTTATGATGCTGTACAAACTGTAAGCCCCCAGAGAGCCCCCTACATTCATCAAATCTTTTTTCTGTTTTACACATTTTCTAAAATGATATGTTTAAATGTACAGATGAGGCATTATTTAATGACAACTTATGTGGAATTCCTGAGAAATATAGAGTGCAAAAGTTCATTAAAAAAAATGACCTTGTGTGTGTTTTGGTTGGTTTCTTTTCACTAGACTGTGAGGAAGCAAAATATCCCAAAGTCTCAAAATTGACCTGTGTATGAAAACCAATGTATTTGCTCATAGCGTCTCGTCGGAATACACTAAAGTAAATATTACCTCCCAGCACTGAACATTAGCAACATTGTAAAACTTTTGACAACTAAAAAAGTTATTTACTTATTAAAGTTTGGGAAATATTGTGTTCACGTTGAAAGACAGAGTAATATTATTAAAAATGTCAATAACAGTTGTTTATTCATATTTATTCTGTCCATAGTGTCTGTAATATACTGTATATCTTTATATCTGATTTATAGTGTATTCAATTTCTATACTGCTGTTAATAATGTTTATACATCCTTATTGTGTTCATTCAGTTTGTTTATATCCGTCACATGTACAGTATATATATATATATATATATATATATATATATATATATTTATTATACTTAAATACCTCATTGTTGTAATACTTGTACTCTGTGCAATGACAATAAAGCTGAATATAATTTAACCTATGTAAAGCAATTTGCCCTGAAGTTGTGGTGGTACCGTTAAAATATGCAAAGTATGAAAACAGTTAACGCAAAAGTCAAGGAACCAAATATGTCTAAATTGGCTGATTTTAGACATCTTAATATCTAAATGTAATCAAAAAATTGACTGTACAGTTTAATCTTTTAAAAGCGTCTTTACTTGAGTATACAAACAATAGAAAAAGTAAAATAAATGAAGACACTAGGAAATGATTACAATGCCATAAAATGAATACAAAAGCTATTTCCCCAAACAGCTTTATCCATATAATAACTAACTTATATCATCAACAATCATTATGTGTACCCAAAGCGTCCATATTTGCTAATGTATGTACTTTATCAGCTTCAATATTTGTGTCAGTGGAGAGAATAGCAAATGGATGTCCTCATAGGTACAGTAACAAAAAAGTGGGTTCTTTATAATATATGTCATAAGGGAGAGCTTGTATTCTTGCCTGTCTTATTATTCCAAGGCGCGACCACGCAAAGGCATTTGTGCCTTAATATAGCCAGGGTTCGAGAAAACCATTGTGTATTGATTAAAATAAACTATATTTAGACTAGACACAGAGCCAGCTAACAGTAATTCCTGCTGACGGGCTTTTTCTTAGAGACTTCACAGGGAAATGCTCAGGAAAGGAAAATCAGTAGGCCAGATGGAAATGTTGAGAGCTCATTGAAAGTGTCTGATCCAGCTTCCTTTAGCGGCTGCCCCCAACAATACTTCCTGTCTAACTGGCTGCTTTGTCTGTCAGGTCGCTTTATCCTCAAATAATTGTAATAACAGCCAAAAAGAGATTCCTTAGTGTCAGACGCTCCAAAATGGGAAGTCCAGCAGTCTGGGTTATGAGTATACACTGAATATAACAAGTGTACATAGTCACAGTGAAGTCACCGTGGCATTTTGCCATTTTTGCCATCTTGTTTTTTGTCCATTCCCATCTTGGTTAAAACTTAACATAACAATAAACTTTAATGAACTGAAAACACACTGTGAATAGGTTCCAATAACTTACAAAAAGCAAATATGGACAACAAAATAAAACACAAACAACAACTAAACTGGACAGCATTGTAGAAACGGGGGGTTACGTATTGTAACACTAGTTCTATAAGCACAGGCTCCGCCCTCTACTGAACTCTATGGTACTACTCTCATCAATGATACGCGAGCGTTCACACACTGAAGTTGTATAAACGTAGCCGGCCAATCAGGGCGAGCCTACCTGAATGCGCGCGCAGGCTCACAGTATATAAGGCAGCTACACCTCCTGACTGTCATCCTACACCCTCTTCAGCGAGCGGCATAGGGAAAACAGGGCCCCTAGGTAGAGAGCTCCGCCTGTGCTTATAGAACTACGGTTACAGTACATAACCCCCCTTTCTATCTCACACAGGCTCCGCCCTCTACTGGACTCTATGGGTACAGTGGGTGGAACCTGTTAAGCCCTGAGCCTGTTTTTCAGGTCTCAGGCTCGAAAATGACATTCCCAGAACAAATGACTATAACTCAGGCCCGGTTCCAGAACAAAATGACTCACGGTGCATCTGAGATTAGAGATGAGAGAAGTGGGGAGTGGACCTAACACCCTCTGTCTAGGGGGTCCTCACCTCCTCTAGGGGGGGTCCTCACCTCCTCTAGGGGGGTCCGGGGGCATGCTCCCCCGGGAAGATTTTTTTTAAATATTGAAGTTAAAAGCATCAATCTGGTGCACTTTTACCCCATTCACACCAACGGTGTTTCAGGGCCGGTTCGGAGCTGGAGCTTGAAAAGCACCAGGTTTTCCTGTTCACACCGCAGCGGAGCAGCCTCTAAGCTCCGGAATCCGGTTTGTTTCGAGCACCAAAAAGTTGTCCGTCTAGAAGCAAGAACCGCATACGTCACGCTTACGTCGGAGGGGGCCGAGATTAACGTGAGCTAACAGTTAAGGCGAGTACGGCAAATAAAAGTTGTAACAAGCAGTGGTGCTGAGCAAAGTGACTAGAACGCAACCACACACTTGTAAAAACAAAAACACGCTTTATAAAGTCAGGCAACACTAACCAGGCTTCGTGTGATTCTGTTTATTTGTACCTTACTTTGACCATCCGTTCGCTGTTATTGATCATTGTGGAGAGCAGGCAGACGTTTTGTTTGTTATTATAGCAGCTATCGGATGGAATCAATACATGGGCTGCACAGGTTGTCATGTCCGACTATCACAAGTAGAATCATAATGAAAAATACGCCGGTAAAAAGTGCCTGTAGAAAACAGCTTAGCAAGTAGTCAGTTTAGCTTCGGTTGCTATGCTAACATCACCCATGTTATACCAGAGAAACTTTCATAACAGCGTTGTGATGCCAAACAGCATCAATTCAGACTGACACACATTCACTTAAGGGGAACTGGGGATATGTATCAGCTGCTTGTGTGACAGTCAGACAGTGAATACTTTAGAGCCGTGTGAGCTAACCCGGAGCTAACGGGAGAATACACTCCCGTGGAAGAGCAGCCAGCACTGCAGCGGTCGGTAAATGCCGCTGAAACACATTAATAAACAATGAACCACGGCACTCTGGAGAAAAGTATAAGGTTGGAGAAGTCGTTATTTAATTTAATCTGGCTTCGTATGATTAAAAGCAACACGATCATCGACCCGACGCAGTCCCCGGCCCGTTGTTGTTGTGAGCTGCGTGTTAGAAAAGATGAGATCTTAGACTGGCTTACCTGTACGTCAATCAAGTGTCAAATGCCATAGTAAGGATAGATGATAGGTTAAGTTTTTTGTAATTTTTTTTTTTTTTAAAAGAAGTGCGTGGGGACAGGGAGTAGCCAAACGGTAGTCTGTTGTACTCGGAGGCTATCCCCTGGAAGGCACCACGCAAATGCTTCCTGTGTTTTGGAGCAATTTCGACATGAAAGTAAGCGTCCTTCAGGTCGATGGTTGTGAACCAATCGCCCGGCTGCACCAGTTCCAGTAACTGTTTAACATGTGGAACTTTTTGCAGCCCTGAATGGAGGAGGGACGCTGCAGAACTGGAGTGAGTAACCCAGTCCCAGTCTCCTGTCCACCCATTCTGTCAGTACACAGCTGAGCTTCCATTCCCCATAAAACTGTGTTAGGGGACATGCAAGCAGCTGTGGAGCCGCAGCTAAGAAGCTGTGGTACTCTCTGGTGGCCCTCTATTTTCTCTTTCTCTCTTTCTGAGAGCATAGAGTCCAATAGAGGGCTCCGCCTGTGCCTATAGAACTAGGGTTACAATACGTAACCCACCGTTTTTGCAACAGGGCCAGAATTTCTGTTGAAAGGAAACCTATCTCCTCCTGGGATGATAGATTTGCCTCTCTTACAGCCCTGAATGGAGGAGGGACAACCACTGTGAGCACAATATCAGCAGTGTCTGTAGGGTGG